ACCTACTTACTTACTTACTTACTTACCTACTTACCTACTTACTTACCTACATACCTACTTACTTACTTACCTACTTACTTACCTACGTACCTACTTACTTACTTACCTACCTACTTACTTACCTACCTACTTACCAACTTAATTACTTGCCTACTTACTTATTTACTTACTTACATGCCGGCGTAAACGTCGCTGCTTATATTTTGTTGTTTTATTTGTTTTTGTTGTTTTGTTTCAACCATTTTACTCTGTAGCACTTTGAGTTTGGTTACTCAAATGAAAAGGGGGCTTATAAATAAAATTGATTATCATTATTATTGATTACTAGAATTGTATATCTTAGGAATCAGAACATGTATCTTAAAGTATGAAATATGATGGTTTCTGACCTATAGAGATGGTCCACACGGCGGCGATCTTCATCATGGCTTTGGTTCTGGAGTTGAAGCGGCTGTGCTCGATGGGGTTTCTGATGGCCACGTATCGGTCCAGAGAGATGGCGCACAGGTGCATGATGGAGGCGGTGGAGAACAGCACGTCCAGGTAGATCCAGATGGGACACAGGGCGCTGGGGAGGGGCCAGGCGTAGTCTGGAGACCGAGGGAAAGAAGAGGTTAAAGTTATACTGGTGATGCACCACTTTTAATGATGGAGCATGAACGGCTGAACGTCATCAGCTTCAGTGGAGAATAAGGGCTTAAGATGCACTTTAATTAATCTGAGTGCTTAAAACTACATTTCCCAGTTCCCATGATGAAAAGCAAAGGTTTCAGTAAAGCATAAACGTGGTTTACAAGCAATACTATGAGCTCATTAGATAAATGTGTTTACATGGACAATTCTATACTCTGACAAAAGAGGTTAATTAGATGATTAGCAAACACATGTTGCCTGGAGGGAGGCTCTGATACTGTTTATAAAAACAACTCTATATGTTTTTTGTATTTGTGCACATGTGTGTATGAAAGACAAGATACTAATTAACTGCTGTGTCTTTTGTGTTGTATGAAGTCACACAGCTTCTCAGTCAAATGTTGTATTACTAGCAATATGCATTATTGCATCTTATCTCACTAACTTTTTAACCAAACGGTAAAAGAAGTGGGCTCTTGAACAGAAGGTTGCTGGTTCAATCCCCGCTCTTAACACCATCTCCCAGTCAGTTTCCAAGTGTGAAATAAAGCTTAAAAAAACGACTAACGGCCCGTCCATACAGCGGCATTGGAAGCTTCTTCCAACGCTTCTGCTCATTCACTTTGAATGGGGTGACGTCACTTTTCGCCGAACTGCATTGTGGGAAGCAGAGCGGAGCTTTCCTGGCGTGGCTCGCTGCAAAAGTTGAGCAACGTTCAACTTTTGAAGCCTCGGCAGAAGCGTCAGCCAATCGAATCATATGCCAGTACAAGCTCTAGCCCAGGGGTGGGCAACCAGTCAGAGGTTAAGAGCCACATTTTTTCTATGTTACTGCAAAGAGCCACATCAAACACACAGTCACTGATACCGCTTGTTTCAGTTTTTTGTTTTCTGGAGACAAGATTTCAACCACGTCACTGATGCATTTTTGTGGCATTGGGATATATATTTTTTAAATCCTCTGGAGCAGAGAGGAGCTGTGGATTATTGTTATTGATTAATGCATCTGTTTCTTAGGGTCAAAAACACTAAACCCACAACTTAAGATGAAAGCGTTTAGTTTATTTAATAAAAGAGCACATGTTCAATGTGAAAAGTGACAGTAGTTATAGATTATTTGCAATTTGGTGCTACATATATATATATTTGTTTTATTATATATATAACACCTTCAATTCCAGGGGGGGGCGCGGGGCTCCGTTGGCGGAGCGCGGGGCTCCGTTGGCGGGCAGCGCCCCTCTAAGACAATGGTAGGGGAAACACTGGATAGTGTTTAATCAACGATAGGTTTCCCCCCCCTCAAAGGTGATTGGTTCACTGCATCGCAGGTATTATTGTGATTGGCTCTTGGGCCACATCAAAATTAGACGCGCTGTCATCCTCTCATACTGACACCTGACACCACACATACACACGTAGGGAGAGCCGGGACGAAAGTAACACGGGACGAAAGTAACGGAGTTATTTTATCCGAGCCCGAACAACTTTGACCAGCCAAATTACGTCAGAATTATCAGCATTCAATACTTAACAGACCTACTAAATATCAGGTTTAACTGTCAGTGTTGTCACGATACCAACATTTTGGTTTCGATACCAAGTCAAGAATTGCGATTCCGATTATTTTTCTTAAAAAAAGGGAAACAGTCTTAAATGTAATTATTGTGCTTTATTTCACACCAGAACCATAACCATAACACAAACTTTTAAACAATGAGAACAATAAATAAAATAAATGACAATAATTCGTATTAAATAAAATTAATACATTTCTTACAGACGGGCCTCGTGGTGTCCGTAGGCTTGCCCTCACTGTCAGAGATATAGCTAAAATACATCGCTTCTGGCGTATTTTTTGTCAACAAGCCGAGGCGCAGCGGCAGTTGCACTCCCACTTGCAGCCATGCTTCTGGTTTTCTCACATGCTCTGGCAGCTAGCGCGTGCACGAGAGAGGGGAGGGACTTAGAGCGTGCTTGAGAGGGGAGGGACTTAGAGCGTGCTTGAGAGGGAGGGACTGCAGGCACGGCTGCAGTGCAGGGAGTGGAAGCAGAGCGCTGAACACACACGGCTCCTATTAAAACGGCGCTTTCTCACCGGAGTACTTTCCCCCGTCATTCTTAAAGTACCGATACTAATGAAACGGAGGAATCGTAACGTTTTTAACGGCAGGGTATCGCGGTATACCTTTCAAGTATCGGTACACCATGAAACACTAGTCAGGAGTCAGTGTCTCTCCCCCAAACTCACACATATAAAATTCGATATGAACTGAAGAGCCGCATGAAACTAGGCAAAGAGCCGCATGCGGCTCGAGAGCCGCGGGTTGGCCACCCCTGCTCTAGCCAATCAAACCGCTGCTTGTGTGTCAGGGGCGGGAGATTCATGTGATTGGTTGTTGGTCGAGTTTCAGACACGCCCACCTCCAAGCTTTTTCCAAAGCCGCTGTGTGGACGGGCCGTTACTACGAAAACTACTAAATCTCATCATGTGTAAGTAAAATGCTGATCTTGCAGAAAACAGATAACCTCACTGTTTGTGAAGCTAACAATGACGAGACATGTTTTCAGTGATGCTCTCTTTGTTGAAACCCTTCTTCTGTTTCTCTCCCTCCACAGAGAGGTCAAAGGTCACAGTCAGTCTCAGTGTGACACAGTGTGAAGCTGCTGTTGAGTGTTTTTGGCTCACTGCTTGGAACCGTTTGGGTCACGGGGAATAAAATCCTCCTCACTTATCTCTTATCTTAACGTAACGCGTGCTGATGTAACTTACAGAAATACCGCAGGGAATAATTTGCCAGAGAATTAAATGAGTGGCTTAACCTTTGCTTAATCTGGTGTGAATGAATACGCATAATTAGCTGATTTTTGGACTATAATCTTGTTTTGGCTACATTTTACACACCAGCAGGAAACGTACACTTGGGAAAAGAAGATATTTAATCCTGCGTAAAGAAATGTCAAATAAAATCACCCACCATCTGTATTCATAGCTGCAGATGGAATTAAGCTCATAAACCTTTTGTTAATAATCAATATTATTCACAAAGTTTCCTCTCAATATTACAATTGCATGTCTCCAAATGAAAAAGAGGCTTTAGTGTCAGAAAAAAAGTTGAAAAAGATGACTCAAAGTCTTCTGCAGCAGCTCTTTTCTCCTGTTTCTGGGAGATGTATCCTCCCTAAAGGTTAGTCTGTCCAGATGAATAGCAAATTAAAATGTAATATGCAACAGAGGAACATCGGTGTGGTTTCATTTCCAGCTGTGTCAGCTTTCTTAAGACGGGGAAATACTGCAAAGTCCGTCTCTCTGTGTCTTACTACGTCTGCGGCTATTTATAAGAACAGTCCTTTCTTCACAGAGGACAGATGCAGCCACACACACACACACACACACCACACAACACACACACACACACAACACAACACACACACACACACACACACACACACACACACACACACACACACACACACACACACACACACACACACCACACACACACACACACACACACACACACACACACACACACACACACACACACACACACACACACACACACACACACACACACACACACACACACACACACACTCCTTAATTTCATCTCTAATTCGCAGGATGAGCTGCACGTATGTGTTGCATGTGGAGTGAATCACTCGCTGGTTGGTGTGTGTGTTGAGTGGGAGGCAGCTTGCATAACTTTTCAGAGGTCAAACACTTATTGCATGACACACACACACACACACACACACACACACACACACACACACACACACACACACACACACACACACACACACACACACACACACACACACACACACACACACACACACACACAGGTGGTGTTACTCAGCTGGCTCGCGGCTGTGTTGGATGTTCTGGTATATGCTGAGAGACTCGAGTCCACAGCTAACACTGTTTATGAAAGCATGGTGAGGTCATTTTGTTCTTTTAATAACATGTATTTTCACTTAATCCAGTTTGATGTGGTGCATAAAAACAGCTGATACACTCATTTTCATAATGCTAACTAGACAGAAAGTGAGCTTTTCATGGATTACTGAGGATTATTATTACTTCTAGTGCAGCCTGTTACAGTTGCTCTTGCTAGATGTGTACTATTTTAAAGTATTAGCTTTCCTAGTTGACCTTACTTGGTATTTTTCTGTTAATAACTTCATTTAGTAACTTATTACTGGCTGTGCCTTCTCTTAACCTTCCTTGTAGAGAGAGATCTTTTTCGTTTTTTTCGCGTTGAGTTGCAGCTCTTGCATTCACAGCAAAGCTACGTTTACACCAGAGAGAAGCTAATCGCGCTAAAGCCGGCTAGCAGCATAGTGGACTGCTAGCCTCACTGAAAACTGTAAAAGGACACAGAGGATGCAGGGTAAACCAAAAGAGACAAAGGTGGAGAGCTTGGTTCAGGTGTATGGAGAACAAGCAGATATGACATGTGTCTCCCCGTCTCCCCCCCTAATCACAGGCAACTTGCTAACTTGCTAATAAATGACAAGCTAATGGTGTTGTCGGTTGCACCAAGAAACCAAAATTGCCCCTAGGATTGATTTAGTATTTTTGAGCTTTACAATGAATGCATATCGCATCAGTAGAAGCTGATATATGTTTTCAAATAGAACGTTTTATGATTCAAAAGGTGTCTTCAGCTAAATGAGTCCATGCTGGTCTCATATATCTAAGGGCAGATCGACCTGAGAAATGTTCAATTTACTCCTCTTATTTATTCCAACCAAATGATCTCCGTCAATCCCTTTTTCCAATTCATTAAAGCCGAGACGACACAGCTTGTTGGAGTTTTGAGGTTTTTACAACCCCACTCTGCTCCGCGTGTCGTTTTGACGAGTCCTGCTTAAAATCATAACAGGAAGGAAATCAGACAGAGAACACCCAGATACCAGTTGAAACAATAATCTGTTTTAATTATCAAAGGTA